TGGCAGGCACCTGTGGTCCCAGCTACTTGGGAGGCTGAGGCAGGAGACTCGCTTGAGCCCAGGAGTTGGAGGTTGTTGTGAGCTGTGATGCCACAGCACTCTACCCAGGGGGACAGCTTGAGGCTCCATCTCAAAAAAAAAATAAAAAATAAAATAAAACATTGTTTCTTCATTTTGGTTTTGTAATTAATACAAATATCACAACATTCAAAAGATCCAAAGGTAAGAGAAGGGTCAGTCTCCTTTTTTTTGTTCCTTATCTGCCCATTTACCTCCATCTGTGCGCCTATAAATAGATACATAAATATTTTTCCTGCCATGCAAATCTTATTAATCTTTCAACATGGTCGATACTCTGTTTTTTCAAATTATAATTTTAATTGTCATCATAATTGTATTTTTTAAACAGGACAATGAAAAGTCTCTCCCATACCCTAGTCTCCTTTCTGGAGGCAACGGGTGTTCTTAGTTCAATTGATTCTCAAGGGCTTATTGTTTTCTCTGATTTTCAGCCTCTTTTGAAATTAGAATTTATAATTGCTGTCAGTCAGGCAGCAGTCTAGACACATTTGGGTAAGAATCTTCTGATGGGGTGGCACCCGTGGCTCAAAAGAGTAGGGAGCCAGCCCCATATGCCGGACGTGGTGGGTTCAAGCCCAGCCCCGGCCAAAAAAACGCAAAAAAAAAAAAAAAAAAAAAAAAGAAGAATCTTCTGATGGTACCTGGTACATTGGTCTCCTAAAGCTGCCATAATAAAATGCCACAGACAAGGTGACTTAAACAACAGACATTTATTTTTCTCACAGTTCTGGAGGCTGGAAGTCTAATAGGCAGAGCTCTCTGAAGCTTTTCTTCTTGGCTTCCCAATCAGTCTTCTCACTGTGGTCTTACCTGTCCTTCCCTCTGTGTGTAGGTGTCCAAATTTTCCCTTCTGATAAAGACACAAGTCACACTGAATTATATCCTACGCTGCTGGCCTCATTTTTTCTTAATTACTTCTTTAAAGCACCTATTTCCAAATACAATCTCATTCTGAGCTATTGGAGGGTAGGGCTTCAATATACGGATTTTGAGGGGGCACAATTCAGCCTGTAAAACCTGGTCAGAGGAAGAGAGATTCAGCATCAAAGAGCTTGAGGAAATAAGGTAGTTTCTAGACTGAGTGTCCCTATGTTACCGAGGCTGGAGTGCAGTGGATATTCACCATATTCACAGGTAGAATCATAGCACACCACACTCTCAAACTCCTGGGCTCAGGAGATCCTCCCAAGGAGCTGGGATTACAGAGGTGTGGCACTGTGCCCAGCTTGTATTTCTATTCTTGGGAACTGTGTGTTTATACATTGCGTCCATTTTTCTATTGAGTTGTGAGATTTTTCTATTTGTATATTAGGGACATTAGATTTTCTGTGTTCTCTGCATTGACAATGTTTCCACTAGTTTACAATTTGTTTTGTTTTGTTTTTTGTTTTTGACATAGCATCTGGTGGTCTTGCTCAGTTGCCCAGGCTAGAGTGCAGTAGCATCATGATAGCTTACTGCAACCTCATACTCATGAGCTTAAGCAATCCTCCAGGCCCAGCCTCCCCAGTAGCTAGGACTACAACTATTCAGCATTCATCACCACACCCAGATATTTTTTTTCTTTTTGGTAGAGATAAGGTTTCACTATTACCCAGTGTGGTCTTGAATTCCTGCCTTCAAGTGATACCCTTGTC